TCACTCACTTACCAATAGAATATAAGTAAATAAATAAAATGTTTTTCAGGCAGCAACCCGCACGAACAATGCAAAAACCTTCCATGAGTAATCTCGCATATCCAACCTGCAACAGGGATGGTGCACTCTTCGAGGTCAACTTGAAATTAAAACAAGCAACAAACTTGAAATTCCCATGGACCAAGTGGAACCTGCTAGCGAAATTGTGAAAAGATTTGTTACTGGTAAGTCTATCAGTGTAGTTGTATCGATGATCTTTGTGATTTTGAACTTTCAAAGGAGCAATGTCTTTTGGTTCGATCTCGTGGGAAGCTCATACGACGCTCGCGATTGCAATGAATCGCATAGGGGCAAAATCGAATACAGGTGAAGGTGGAGAGAAACCTGAGCGATATGCAAGTAATCAGGATGCAAACAATAATTTGCGATCAGCAATCAAGCAGGTATTGGTGCCTAAACTTACATTTTTTAGATGTATCTGCCTAACTGCTCAAGAGGTTTGTTGTATTAGCTAAATAACAAAATGCGGTTTGTACAGCTTTCGGAAAACCATTGCAATTTTTTAATATAATTGTTGGGATAATAGGTCACGTTTGTTTCAAAAACTATGAATTTTTAAAAGTTTGTTTAGCGGGATTCTGCAGTCCATGCAATGAAATCCAGCGCATAGTCAAAAAATCCCTAATAAATTGTAAATTATGTTGCCACAATTTTACTGAAGTATGAAATGTTTAGAAATAATGATGTTATCCACCGCTGGGGTGTCCATACGATAATGCTGTTTGAAGTATTTTAAGATATGATGAAAAGTGTTACAAGAAATCTCGCGGTTATCGTAAGGCTGCCTAAATCTCTCCATATTAGAGATACTTTTGCTCTCCTTTTCAACCTTCAGTAGTTAACAAGGCATTTTGTAAACTATTAATGAAGTCTTCTTGCATACATCTGATATCTGTAGAAAAAAACTACGTCGCGAAATTTAATTTGGACAATGCGAATTGTTTTTTCATGTTTTTACGACTTTCCAGGTTTTGTAAAAAATGAATTTTTGATTACTGCCGCCGCGATTCCAACTCCATTGAGCACAGATGCTATAACCAATTATTTTGAAAAATTCACAAGATCTTGAGAAGTAACT